AAACCCTTTGCAAGCCTCCTCTACTACGACTCCAACATCTTCTCCAACCTGCAAAATAACCAAACCAAAAGAACCATAAATCGCAAATGCGAGAGAACAACCACCACCAAAGAGAAAAACCCCTCTCGGCTCATGACGACTCACGCGAGCTTCCATTATTGTTGTATTCGAAACCCTAATTGGGGATGGAAGAGGGCTGCCCATGGCAGAACCCCATTAGATGCTTAAGTATGCTCAATGTGTCACTTGGTTAACATTTGCAAACTCAACATGTCACATGACTGAAAACTTAACGTCATTCATTAAAATTAACGGCAAGGGTTCAGTTGAATCAATTTTGTACACAAAGACCTAATTGAGTTAAAAATTATCTCAAAGACCAATTTGAGACAAATCTGCATAAAAAAGGACCTCGAAAATGATTAAACCAATTTGATATAATACTTATGAGATTAATGAGATTCCAATATTGATTCTTAGCTACCAAAAGCAAAATTCTGTATTTCTTCTAGAGAATCTCCTAATTGTTCTAGAGCAACTAGAAAGAGATTCTTTAACCATAAAGAATTTAGTTCAGATGTAGTATACCTATCCAAAAGTTTTTGCAACTTAATCATGTATGAGGGAATCATCAAAGATTTTACCTTTTCGAACTTTGTCGGTAACTCATTATAGACTCGAGAAACAAAGAGAAGATGTGTACGAACAAGATATCTAGTAAAAAGGAGAAGGAAATGATTGAATAGAAGAACTCCTTAACATTTAGCTATTTCAGATGTGTCGATATCAATAGTAACTCATTATTTCGATGAGTCATTTGTTTGGACAAAAGACTATGAAAACAATTACCCGGAATTTCACTTATCAGATTCAATTATGGAAAACAATATGAAATCTGACGAACTCGCCATAATATATCTAACCCATGCATAATATCATGAAAAAACGAATACAAACTTTTGGGTGCTACTTAGTATTAATAAAAGGTTAAAAAAATATCCAAAAATATGAAATTTAAATATTTGTATCCTGTGGAGGTAAAGGAATTTCAATCTTTAGGAGTATAACGAGTCTTAAAAAGATTTATTTTTTCAAGTGTTTGTTTATTGATCTTGTAGGTCTTTTAAATTGCAATGACTATTTCTTATTTTAACCTTTGAATTGCAATTACTAAATCACAATTATGAATAGATGTAAGAATTTATTTTTAAATTATCTTACTATGTTTATTTTTATTAGTCTATGATAATTTATTAATTTTTATTTTTTTCTCTAAAAAATGAAAATTTAGGGAATTTGTATAAAATAACAAACTTATTTCATGTAATTTCTATATGTCTATTATCATTAGTTAGGTTTTTTATTTTCAATTTTGATAATAATCTCGTCTGATTCCAGTTATTCATCCTAAGAAAATATAACTTACTTTATTTGTAATTTTGAGAGAATAGTAAATTTTAGTATAAAACATTTTATAACTTTTTACTATATTAATTATAATTTTTGATCTTGAAATTCATGATCAATATAGATTTATATTTAAGGTTACATATTACCTTTCGTTTTACTTCGTGAACAAATAAACATTATTGAAGCTTTTCTATTTGAAATTGTTTTAGGTTTAATTTCAATTATTTTGTTTGGATTATTTGTATCTACAAATTTATAATACGAAATATTTGATTAATTAATGTCTTTTGTAACATCCCAAAAATACAGTGTCAAAACCATATAATAGAATAATCACATTTAATAATATTACAGCTCAGTCTTACATAATAGAGAAGTAAGCTTATGGCCGAACGACCTTTACAGAAAGAACTAGAAAATTAAAATCGAACAACAAAAGCAAACCCCGACTGAACGGTTTACAAAAGACTATACCGAACGGTCCTATCAAAAGACGAGAGAAAGGATGATCGAACGATCATCTTAAAACTAAGCTAATAAACAGACCGAACGGTTCTACTGTTCGGTCTTAACTTCTACCTCGACTAAGTTATCTTCCTCCAACGCTTCTTCCAGCAGCTCGTCTCCTTCTGCTCACATCCACATGGATGATCATTGCAACAGAAGGACAACCGATCGTACAAAACAGACAAGACAGAAAGACATAGGGTAAGTTTATGTAATTTAATTCATGTATAAACATATATTTCACGCAATCAATACCAAACAAGATAATTCATCACTCGTTCATACAAAGCCTAATACTAGACTAACTGTCCGGACTGTATGAATTTTGTGGAGCTACGACGTTCGTGCACCCGGGTGATGTAGTAACTGGGATACCCTCAACAACTGCCACCCGAGGTTAGTCATATCTGTCCAAATTAACCATAAGAACTAGGACCTCTTGTCGTTCCCACACATGACTTACCCTCTCTACGTGAGGACAAGTAATCACGGAACATCAGGATGAACCGCCAGCTTAGCATGCCCACATTCATACTTTACCAAATTTCCAATAATCATTCATGAGCTATTCCTCCCCGGAATGCTCGTCCATAATTCAAATACATTTAATATACATCATATTCCATCATCTTCCAGTTTCAAACTTCAGTTTTAACTAAGACCACTTAAGATACAAAAATACCGAACGTTCACCCTGAACTCAAAATTAGACCGAACCCTTGGAGCGAGACCGAGAGATCTCCAGTTCCAGAAAAGATTAAGACCGAGAGGGTTACTACCAAGTTGAGAACGGACCAGAGTACAATCGTATGTCACAAGAACAAACAGAAAGAATGTGATTTACAAGGGGAGTCAATTCAATGAATTGACTCATCAGAGTTCAAAGACTAATACATTGAATAATCACATGAAGAAACCGAACGCTTATAAATACTTAGTCTATTTGAATTTAACATCAGAAAACCGAATGTCAGTCAAAGACCGAACACGGTAGAGAGAGTATAATATTGAATTTAGACGAACCCTATTTTCATCCAGGTAGTTTATAGAAAATAGAATGAGCGCTTGGTGTAAGACCCAACAATAAATAGTACGAACGCTTGGTGAAAGACCTAGCTCTAAATCGTACGAGCGCTTAGTCAAAGACCTAACATTAAATGATACTAGCGCTTGGTAAAAGACCTAGCATTAAATGATACGAGCGCTTGGTGAATATAGAATATCATTTGACTAATGTTCAAGAACGAACGGACATACTACTACACAGATATACTTAAGTTTTATTTTAAAATACCGAGGAAATGATATCCTTGGTGGAATGCCTGTACACAAATTGTACTAGACGAAGACGCTCGTCCTCAACATAAATTCTTTCCAAATGAAAGAATTCAGTTCTAAACTAGTCTCCTATAAAAACCGAACGGTCAAAGACCGTTCAGTAACGAACACACATTATCTTAGGGAAATTTCATACTTAGAAATCATTTATCTCAATTCATTTCTCAACATCTATTTTCATAAAATTAAACACCCATACCATAGTAAATAATCATACTTCATATAGTCAAAACATATCAACAATCATACTTCGTATAGTCAAAACATATCAACAATCATAATTCATATTAACTCATCAACTCAACGAATGTACATGCAATTCAAACAACATACAAATTAAATTATATAAGCTTCCCTTACCTCTAATGTGAGCGAACGTTCACCAATAGAACCACTTATTCACTTCTAAGAATCCTTCTACCTTCAACGCTCAACAATCCAAACTACACAAGGTGAAAACCCAACACTATCAGAACCACTCATTTGAGAAGGGTGATCAACACATGAAACCAGGACTTGGTTTGCATGTCCAAGAAAACGCACGACTGAAAGAAGGAAGAACTTACCAGCTCAGCTTCACAAACCGAACGGTTTAACTGGAAGCTCTTGACGCCTGAAGTGTTTCTGCGGTGCCTGAATGATGATCGGAGAAGAGAAAGTGAGTGTTTTCTTAGAGAGAAGATGAAGGAGATGTAGAGAGAAGGAGGAGAGAATGAGATTTTTCAGAATCTGGGGAAGAAGGGTGTATGAAGTGAGTGGAGTGGATTTTCTGAAAATCAAAGTTTTGCTTCCCAAGTCAAAAACGGACATCCGCTCATGTGTCAACACATGTCCTCCACCAGCTGAGTGTCGAGCTCCTCTCTTGACACGTAAAATCCACTAAAACGAATCTTAAATGGATTTTAATGGCTCTGACATCTTTTTTTTTTTAATTTTCTATTTATTTAATTTCATCTTAATAAAAAGAATAAAATTATCAAAATAATAAAATAAAAGAATAATAAAAATATTATAAATAAGAAAATGGTACATTATGATATATATCTACTTAGCTATTACTAGAATTCCTCTGCACTAATGATAAAAATATAAGAATTCTAGTCATTATACACTGTCCTTTTAACAAAAATAAAAAAAAATTGACAAAAATATAAACAGATATGGTACAAATAGTAAACTGGAGGCAGGATGAAGGGATACATCAAGTTGTACAGGGAAAGATATATTTTTTGTGCATAGTATTTACCTGTGGGCTACATTACTTTCTAGATAGCTTAGCAACGAAGGTTTTCAACCAGAGCCACACAATATGCCCTGATAAGCCTTGGTTTTCATTGGCAACTTTTTTTTTTTATTTCCTACCAGTGACTGTACCAACTAGTGAAGAGTTTTCTTTACTTAATATCATGTTCACACTCTTTGCTTTACATGATCATGGCTTTTAGACATAAGAACACTGTCAGAATTGTTCAGTTTACCGTTTGAATTATGACCCCTATACCACTTTACCATTAAGTGTCTACATCCCAAATTGCTTTTCAATCTTAAGTGCTTTTTCTTTCGTAATTGTCTACTTTCTTTGAACTGTACTAAGATTCCACTACGTTTCCTTTGTCTTCAATTATTTTTCCTTTTTCTTGACGATTAAGCCTTCCAACTCTCACTCAACAGCCCCTTTTTAACAAGATAATCTCAACACTCTCAATAGTTTATTGAATTTCAAACTTGGTCGACCAACATCCACCATGGTGAGAACACCCTCCAAGAAGATCCCACTTGTGATACTAAGCGATGATGAAAACTTTTACACTGAAGCTTATACACCCTCAAAACACAAACCTCCTTCAACCTCTAAGTTGCACAGAAATGGCAAGTCAATTGACTCAGTTTCAGGTAAAGCCAAGAGAAGTCTGTCCATGTGTTCAGAACCTGATATTGAGGACTATGGCGATTTTCTGAGGAAGAAGAAGAAGAACACCAAAGCAGATAACAACACTTTACTCCACCGGTTTAGGAGCAAGAAAGGGTTGTTTGTCACCGATGTCACCCAAACCGAATGGTGTGAAAGGCAAATGGAGTTTTCTCTCTTCTCTGAAGAATGGAAGAACAACGAAGGCAAGCCAATGTATTTTGGAGGAGAAAGGAACACTGAAGCTATGAAAGCTGGTAGAAATCGACATGTTCAACTTCAACTAGAGGTTCAGACTACGGTGGAACTGGAGGCGAAGTCAGCTGAGGATGTCATGGCAATGAAACTTGTTAACTTCATAAATGGGGTGAATCAGTTGCTGTTTGATGGGTTAACACGCGAGCTTCCAATCCTGAGTTTTGCTTTTGGAGAAGGCATATGGATGGTGGGGAAGATCGATGAAGTTCAAATGCCTAAAGCAAAGAAAGATCATAATCCGATACTAATTGAGTTAAAGACTCGTTCCCAAGACACGGTTCCTTCAGAAGCACAGAAAAGAAACGGAAGGATTCAGCTAATGTGTTACAAGTATTTGTGGGACAGTTTAGTTGCACATGCTCATCATGATTTCCCACGCAAACAGTTGTATGATTATTTTGAATTGAATCNTATAAGCTTCCCTTACCTCTAATGTGAGCGAACGTTCACCAATAGAACCACTTATTCACTTCTAAGAATCCTTCTACCTTCAACGCTCAACAATCCAAACTACACAAGGTGAAAACCCAACACTATCAGAACCACTCATTTGAGAAGGGTGATCAACACATGAAACCAGGACTTGGTTTGCATGTCCAAGAAAACGCACGACTGAAAGAAGGAAGAACTTACCAGCTCAGCTTCACAAACCGAACGGTTTAACTGGAAGCTCTTGACGCCTGAAGTGTTTCTGCGGTGCCTGAATGATGATCGGAGAAGAGAAAGTGAGTGTTTTCTTAGAGAGAAGATGAAGGAGATGTAGAGAGAAGGAGGAGAGAATGAGATTTTTCAGAATCTGGGGAAGAAGGGTGTATGAAGTGAGTGGAGTGGATTTTCTGAAAATCAAAGTTTTGCTTCCCAAATCAAAAACGGACATCCGCTCATGTGTCAACACATGTCCTCCACCAGCTGAGTGTCGAGCTCCTCTCTTGACACGTAAAATCCACTAAAACGAATCTTAAATGGATTTTAATGGCTCTGACATCTTTTTTTTTTTAATTTTCTATTTATTTAATTTCATCTTAATAAAAAGAATAAAATTATCAAAATAATAAAATAAAAGAATAATAAAAATATTATAAATAAGAAAATGGTACATTATGATATATATCTACTTAGCTATTACTAGAATTCCTCTGCACTAATGATAAAAATATAAGAATTCTAGTCATTATACACTGTCCTTTTAACAAAAATAAAAAAAAATTGACAAAAATATAAACAGATATGGTACAAATAGTAAACTGGAGGCAGGATGAAGGGATACATCAAGTTGTACAGGGAAAGATATATTTTTTGTGCATAGTATTTACCTGTGGGCTACATTACTTTCTAGATAGCTTAGCAACGAAGGTTTTCAACCAGAGCCACACAATATGCCCTGATAAGCCTTGGTTTTCATTGGCAACTTTTTTTTTTTATTTCCTACCAGTGACTGTACCAACTAGTGAAGAGTTTTCTTTACTTAATATCATGTTCACACTCTTTGCTTTACATGATCATGGCTTTTAGACATAAGAACACTGTCAGAATTGTTCAGTTTACCGTTTGAATTATGACCCCTATACCACTTTACCATTAAGTGTCTACATCCCAAATTGCTTTTCAATCTTAAGTGCTTTTTCTTTCGTAATTGTCTACTTTCTTTGAACTGTACTAAGATTCCACTACGTTTCCTTTGTCTTCAATTATTTTTCCTTTTTCTTGACGATTAAGCCTTCCAACTCTCACTCAACAGCCCCTTTTTAACAAGATAATCTCAACACTCTCAATAGTTTATTGAATTTCAAACTTGGTCGACCAACATCCACCATGGTGAGAACACCCTCCAAGAAGATCCCACTTGTGATACTAAGCGATGATGAAAACTTTTACACTGAAGCTTATACACCCTCAAAACACAAACCTCCTTCAACCTCTAAGTTGCACAGAAATGGCAAGTCAATTGACTCAGTTTCAGGTAAAGCCAAGAGAAGTCTGTCCATGTGTTCAGAACCTGATATTGAGGACTATGGCGATTTTCTGAGGAAGAAGAAGAAGAACACCAAAGCAGATAACAACACTTTACTCCACCGGTTTAGGAGCAAGAAAGGGTTGTTTGTCACCGATGTCACCCAAACCGAATGGTGTGAAAGGCAAATGGAGTTTTCTCTCTTCTCTGAAGAATGGAAGAACAACGAAGGCAAGCCAATGTATTTTGGAGGAGAAAGGAACACTGAAGCTATGAAAGCTGGTAGAAATCGACATGTTCAACTTCAACTAGAGGTTCAGACTACGGTGGAACTGGAGGCGAAGTCAGCTGAGGATGTCATGGCAATGAAACTTGTTAACTTCATAAATGGGGTGAATCAGTTGCTGTTTGATGGGTTAACACGCGAGCTTCCAATCCTGAGTTTTGCTTTTGGAGAAGGCATATGGATGGTGGGGAAGATCGATGAAGTTCAAATGCCTAAAGCAAAGAAAGATCATAATCCGATACTAATTGAGTTAAAGACTCGTTCCCAAGACACGGTTCCTTCAGAAGCACAGAAAAGAAACGGAAGGATTCAGCTAATGTGTTACAAGTATTTGTGGGACAGTTTAGTTGCACATGCTCATCATGATTTCCCACGCAAACAGTTGTATGATTATTTTGAATTGAATCCACGTCGTACTTTAAGTAAAGATCTACGAGCAGCGTGCAAAGAGTCTGGATTCACAGCACTGAATCTTGGTGATGTGGTGAGGTGTTACCAAAATACGTGCAAGAGACTGCAACCTTCTAATGAAAAGTTAGTGTTGAGATATGAGTCTCAGAGGGACCATTCAGTGCTGGTTGAAGAAAAGATTGCATATGATGAGGGTTGGGTGAAGAGTGAAATAGGGAGTTGTCTTGAGTTGTGGCTTGGACAGAGAGAAGCCAGTTATGTGGCTGAGGATGAGCAATGGAAGTGTGGTTACTGTGATTTTGTTTCTGAGTGTCTAGGATACACTGATACCGACAGTGAGTAGAAAGAAATATACTGTGATGTAGAAGTTAATTTAAAATTCTGCAGTCATTTTATATACTCTTTTTCAATCTTATCTTTTGCTTGTATCAGTAAATTCAGCAACAAGATTTTCATGTATTGTTTCGATTTCAATGATTTCTGAACTTCTTTTAATTCTTCTTTCAAACAAACTCCCTCCCCAAAACATCCTGATTCGATAATATAAAAGGATTTCATGAAAATCCCCTCCCCCTAAAATTTGTTAGAACCCTATGTCAAAGCTCAACCTTGTCCAATTAACCTACCTTCATTCTCCTAACCACCTCCTCCAAAACGCCAGCAACTACTTATTCTTCACCGTCAAGCCAAGTTCCCCTGCCACAATAACAGTGGTAGCCATATCCAGAAACATGCCATGCTCCACAACACCAGCAAGCTGCAATATTGCGACACTAGCAGCCTTCAAATCCCCGATACTCCTCTCGAAATACAAATCCACGATGAAGTTCCCATTGTCCGTGACAAAGGGCTCCTCCTTCTCCCCAAAAGTTCTAAGATTTGCAACACACCCAGCCTCCTCAAACAGCCTGCGTAACCTCTCAGCAGTGAACTTCCAACAAAATTGAATAACCTCAACGGGCATGGCCAATCCACTCCCCCCTATATAGTTCACGAGCTTGGACTCGTCAACAACAACAATAAACTTCTTGCATGCGCTCTCCACCATCTTCTCCCTAAGGAGGTAGCCACCGCGACCCTTTACGAGGTTGAGGAAAGGGTCAACCTCGTCGGCACCGTCGATGGCCAGATCGACGACGGGGTGGGAGTCGAGATCGGACAGGGGAATCCCAAGGGAGAGTGCCTGTTCGTAAGACATTTTAAGCATAAAAAAACGCCAGAAAGATAAAAGAGAGAGAGAAAATATTCCAACTAAGAATGCAGGCATGCAGCTTCCCAGCTTTTTTCTGGAGGGATAAACCTTAAACTGTTTGTAATTTAATTAAGTACACATCATTCTTAAAATATAATTTAACAACTTTAATTCAAACCATAATAAATTCAAAGGATTAAAAAGTGTAATATATTTACATTTTCCAAATAAAAATAAGAAAAACAATAAGTTTTTATCTTATTGAAACTAACTTGAGAGGATATATATTATAAATTCATTGTAAACTTTTAACTTTTAATTTATTCATAATTAATTTTAACTTACTAATAAAATATTTTTTTGTATTTGTTTCACTTCGTAGAATCTTCACCGTGCATGTTTACTCAAAACTTTTATGTGATAAAGTGTAATCTACTGTTAAATAATTAATTGTTCCTAATATTTTTATTAGTATAACTGTGTAGTGGAAGAATACCCAGAATATTATTGTAATACTAATCAATATGTTATTAATTTGCTTGTACGGTAAAAAAATTCTCAAATTATAGTTTCTTTATAGGTTTAATGTCTCCGTAGGTCCTATTTGGTCGATGAATTTCAAATAGGTCTGTCATTTTCGGCGTATCAATGGAGCCTTGTTTTTGTAAAATTGAATCAATTACAGGCTGCACGTTAATTTGGACAAACGACCGTTACGGTATTGGTTAGGTGGCACTGGTTGAGTGAGTAATAATCGACGTGGCTTTAAAACGGCTTTTTTTTTGTATTAAATAATTGGTATGCACGTGTTATTAGTTTGGGTAAGGGTAAAGTAGGAAATTGAAAAAATTATAAGGGCAACTGAGATTGGGCAACTGAGATTGGGGAAAGAATTAAACCTTTTATTATTAGGGTTCGCGTGAGAGGCCAAAAATGCGATCGTAAGTTCGAGACTGAAGCGGCAGAGTGCATGCATGGGTGGTGTCTGTGGGTCCTTTTGTTGTTGGAAGCAAGAAGCTGAAGCACGTGGTCAGTGGAGGTAAGTGTTTCGGCTTTTGTATTCGTTTGATTCAATCGAAACTACATCACTTGTGTGGTCCCCCATTGCTGTATGGTTTGGTCTCTGGTTTTTGATTGCATTTTGGGGTCCCCCATGTATGTTTAAAGTTAT